TATGAATCATAAAAAAAAAAAAAAAGCAAAAGCAAAAAAAAAAAAAATATATAATCATTCCTCTTATTACCAAGAAGACTAAAATGACAAAAGTCCGAAACATATATAACAGCCATGTTTTGTTTCGTCAGGATATTTTTGGTTTGTGTTTTCATGTGACATTAAATGTGTTTGGCACCGCATTGGAACAAGTGCCGTTTGATTAAATGTTTTAAATCATTTTTTTTTATGTCTGCGTGGTTATGCCGAGCGGATAATGTACGTCATAGGATGAGCTCAACGTTTCCAAAATAGCGGGAATACGGCACGGGTTCACTTAATGGAGATGATACGAATTACCAAAAAAAATAAAAAATTCAGAGTTGCACGCAGGAAAGAAAAGAATAAAACACATCATTGTGACGGTACAGACTTTCGGATCTGCAGTCAGCTTGAGATATCCGTACCAAATGCAAGTTCGAGAAACTATTTAGAATTGAATTGGTCGTGTTTTTTGGTTTTTTTTGGGAGCGGGGGATTATATCAAAGACGATCAATTTTTACATTAAAAAAAAACAACAACATTAAGTCCATACCATAAGAGGGTACATCGCCAAAACCCCAGAGGAAAACTACTAAGAGGAGGACGCAGGCTTAGATTGATGGATGATTGAAAAAAGATCTACAGCTGCTGGGAATCCAAGCATGGAAAGGAGAAGCATTAGTTAGGATTTAGTGAGAGGAAGTCGTGAGGCAAGCCAAAGCCCCACATGGGCTGTAGCGCCGCAGGGAGTGGGATGGATGGTCTGAGTGGAAGGAAGTGGTGAGGCAGGCCAAAGCCCTACATGGGCTGCAGCGCCGCAGGGAGTGGGATGGATGGTCTGAGTGGAAGGAAGTGGTGAGGCAGGCCAAAGCCCTACATGGGCTGTAGTGCCTCAGGGACGGGATGGATGAAACAATGGTCAATGTAACGTGTACCGGGGTCCGGGATCAATTATTTTATCAGTCGACCAAACCAAAGGCCAGGGGCTGATGGACGTGGCCTCAGACTACCCAATTCATTTTTTAGACGAACTGCCCAACCACGAAACGTTACTTTGGGATGACGTTCGACGCATCCCACGGATCGATCAGACATATGACTCGTCTTTTACAACAGCCAGCCTTGTGTCCGATACTAACGTGTGTCCCCTTTTACGTCTGATCACGTGTCCCTCCTTCTACGTCTGATCACGTGTCCCTCCTTCTACGTCTGATCACGTGTCCCTCCTTCTACGTCTGATCACGTGTCCCTCCTTCTACGTCTGATCACGTGTCCCTCCTTCTACGTCTGATCACGTGTCCCTCCTTCTAC